ACCTGGAGTTTAATGTTATCTGTCATGTGGTGCACTATTCAGCGTTCCGGGCCATAGCTGGAACGTCCAGAACAGGGGTGTCAAACTCAACCAGTAAAAAAGGCCACATTTAAAAATCTCCTCAAATCTGTGAGCCACAGAAAAAATGTTTTTATTTCATTTTTAATTAATGTTGTGCTATAAACTGAACTGGATCTTGTTTATTCAAAATATGCAAAAACTTCAACAGTAAAATACAGACGTTTATAGTAGACCTTGAAATATTACATGGACATTTGAAATATTCTAAATTCAGTGTTTTAAACCTACTTATCTGCTTGAACAGGACACCTGCCATCCTTTCTTTCATTAAAACTTGGGCTCAGTTTCTGAGCTGCTGAGCTGACATTCAGTGTTTATGTTGGTTGAACTGCAGCTGAAATGCATTTGGTGACATGACTGGTGTGGAATTGTGTAGAATTGTGTAGAATTGAGGTGAAACCGCTGTCCCATATATTGTTGTTGGGGTAGGAGAGTCGGAGCACATTACGTTGCAGTGCATGCTGGAGACTGTAGTGCAGCACATTGTGAAACGGGCTAATAATAATAATAGAAAACTAAAATACCTTTCTGGGCCAGATAGGATTGTATGGCAGGCCTGATTTGGCCCACAGGCCTTGTGTTTGAGACATGGGGTCTAGAATGTGGTGGCCGAGTTAAACCCAGAGATTTTACTGGGGTGGCACACTGTTAGAAAAAAAAAAAAAAAGAAAAATCTTACCTAAAATGGCATAAACGCATCATGCTGATTTTACTCTGTACATCCAAATCTGTACAATTAAATCTGTCCATCATTTCTACATAAATAAAATATTTGGTTTAATTACTGCTGAAAGTTAATGAAAGACTTGCATGTCTACGTTCCTCCATGGCATCGCGGCCAGTGATGCCACAGTATTTTACTCATTTATGAAGAAATTTTGTGTTTGAATCAAGTAAATTAACTGCAGCACTTTTTTCAGTGCACAACGTTAACTTAAAGAAAAATGTGTCGTACGGACGAACAATTCAGCTGCTCTCTCTGCAGATTATACAGTGTATTGATTAGAAGCTCAGCGCTGTGTAAGAACCTACGACACGTGTTTAACTGTAAAAGAACTGATCATGATTAACGATTATAGCTGAGTACTGTTCGATAGTTACTCATCTCACAATATCTGCTTCATAATGCAGCTCACAGAGCAGAACTGCTGACTCAGCACACTCACCCTGCCCTAAAAGGACCATTAGAAACCATTAGGAGTAAAACCTGATGGTGTAGCTTTCTAATTGGAATTGTCTTATTAGTTTCCAGTAGAGACCACTAGTTTCCGAAAGAACACCTTTAGATCCCATTGGGAAAATGGTCAAATGTGCTTAGAATCAGCCACTGGTCACCCGTTACACCATTAGGATCCTTTACACTGTGATATCAACCTATTAAAAAACACAAAACACATTACAAAACCATCAGAAACCAACAAACACACTTAATGGTTTGTAAGGGTTTTTTCAGCAGGGCACTCACCTGTTCACTGAGTAAATTAGCCAATCACAGCCAGATATGCTCTTAAACGCAGCATCGTCAGCGTTTCATGACTGACTGGTAACCCTGATAGCAGATTTTCAGCATAAAGTGTAACTGATGCTTTATTGATGATGTCTGACTGTCTCAGTCTCTATAAGTGGGCCAGAAGGGTGGCCATGCTTCACTGGCCCAATTCACTGGATGCTGTTATGATGGTCAACCAGCATGATCCTACAGAGTGACCAGCTAAACCAGCACTAGACCAGCATTAACCAGAAAACACTGGCTTAGACCGGCATTTAGATGCTCTACCAATCCTGATTGCTAGCTTAGCTACTGAGCTATAGGCTAACAAATACTACCAAGCTAGCATTAGAGTGACTCTTACCTCAATAATCAAACAAAATCATAAAGAAAACAGAGATTCTGTCTTTATTCAACACTAAATGAGCCCCAGAGACGAGTTTTCACCCTTTCTGTCAGAGAAAAGGAGCCAAACAGGGGAATGATATTTAGACAGCCGCTACCATGCTAACTCTGCTAACTGTAGCTGTTAGCTTCCTCACTGGCTGAGTCGGTTCTGCAGTTTGGGTTCTTCATTATCTCCACTGTGAGGATGATTTGAAGTTCCTGCAGTGAAACAGCTGCAGTAAGATGTTGGATTCTCAGCAGTAGCGTCCCTGATAGTGAGAAGAGAGTGGCCCACTGTCGGCCCCCTGATGGCAGAGCTGGTGGTCCAATAACGTTTTGCTCAGCGTTTTCCAGGCAGCCCACCGGTGGTTCAGCAGAGTATTAGACCAAATCACCACTCATTTTCCACTCTCAGTTCGATTTACGGATTTTTCCTTCCTTCCTTTCTTTAGTTATACATGTGCATTTTAAACCTGTTTAAGGAGATTAAAAACTAGTTAGAGCTTGTGTGCAGGACAGTAATCTGGGTGGTCCAAGCAGTCCAGCACTGTGGTCCAGCGGCGGCAAACAGTCAGCGGGGTGCCGACCTTATCAAGCCAGTGGACCAATACATGCTGCTATCTGTGCCAACAAAAATATCCACCCAAAAGCAGCTTTTTCAAAATTTCTCACACTTCAACCTCTCTGTAGGGTCTGATGCGGCTGCAGTTTATGAGTAAGATTATAATAGATCTAATGAATTAAATAGAGATAAACATGACAATCTTTTTCAGAACCACTGTAATCTGATAGTGTATTCATCTTTTTCATCTTCATCTTCTTTAACTCATCCTGCAGTTTTCAAGATAACGACACTGTTCCAAATCCGGAATGTTTGCTCTGATCGGGAATGATGTGCTTGTATACAGCTTTTTGATCCACCGTCCTGTTTCCGTATAATCTTCGTTAAACTTAGATTTTTTTCCCTATAGAGTTAATTCACTGTTGTTCTGACCCGCACTCTTCTGTTCTGTTTTTTTTTCATCTGTCATTTCTCCCGTAGAATCCCATTCACTTTCACTCACGCCCAAGTTCTGTCAGTTCTTTTACTCGACAGCCACCAAACTGCATGTGTCACTCAGGGTAGGTTTCCATCTCTAATCCACAGCTATACTGATCCGCACTCCTCTATGTGTTGTTTTCTCATCTGTCGTTCCTCCCATAGAATCCTATTCATTTTTAACAATACCTAGCAACCACTAGGCAACCCCCTAAGTACACACCCCATACACCATGGCAAACATCTAGCAGCACCTTAGCAACCTTCCCTTTTACCATAGCGACCACGTTTCAGCACCTTAGCAACCAACACTTTTACCATAGCAACCACCTTTCAGCACTTTAGCAACCAACACTTTTACCATAGCAACCACCTTTCAGCACTTTAGCAACCGCAAAATCACTCTGCATTTCTTCAGGAAACACACTGTTCTAGTTCAGAATATTTCTTTCATCTGAGTTTTTAACCCTCTGGGGTCCACAAACTCACCCACACATCAAATTCTCTGTCTCTATATCTGTGTCTGTATCTTTGTGATGATCTAGCTCAGAAATCCAGTTCAAACACTTCCTGAATCTGTAGAGTCGCCCTTTCCATTCCATCTCGAGATCATACGAAACTCACATCCGGAGTTATGAGCCTATGAAGAGGGGCTGAGATACACATCATCTGCCTCTCACCGTGTGGAACTGGTGGATTCGTGTGTCCGTCTACATTCTGTGTGAAGCTGACCAATGGCCGGAAACCCTTCATTCTTCATTCAGTCCACATCGGAGACTCATGTGAAATGGCGTGCAGAGAGTTTACAGCTGCTGAAGTTGCTGCAGTGGTTTTGGAAAGTAGTGATGAAGATAACGGAGCATTTTGGTATGAAGCATACACCAATCAGGCATAACATTATGACCACCTCCTTGTTTCTGTGCTCATTGTCCAATTTATCAGCTCCAATTACTATATAGGTGCACTTTGTAGTTCTACAGTTACAGACTGTAGTCTATCTGTTTCTCTGCATACTTTGTGTGTTGTGCTGGTACGAGTGGATCAGACACAGTAGTGCTGCTGGAGTTTTTAAACACCTCAGTGTCACTGCTGGACTGAGAATAGTCCACCAACTAAAAATATCCAGCCAACAGCGTCCTGTGGGCAGCGTCCTGTGACCACTGATGAAGGACTAGAGAATGACCAACACAAACTGTGCAGCAGCAGATGAGCTATCGTCTCTGACTTTACATCTACAAGGTGGACTGACAAGGTAGGAGTGTCTAATAGAGTGGACAGTGAGTGGACACAGTGTTTAAAAACTCTGTAACTGTAGAACTACAAAGTGCACCTGTATAGTAAGTGGAGCTGATAAAATGGACAATGAGCATAGAAACAAGGAGGTGGTCATAATGTTAAGCCTGATCGGTGTATGAGGATCATGTTATATGAAAAGCGATTAAAGGAGAATCTAATAAGATATGCACACATGTAGAAAATGAACTCAGACCAATTATGGGTTAATTAAGCAAAGATTTTGTAAAATGGGTGGAGTTTCACTTTAAGGCCTGATCATTGCAGCGAGTTATGAAGACCTGAACTGACCTTCCGCTGCACTGTTTCAGTCACACAAGCTTTAAAGCAACACGCAGCTGTGTAACACAGTCCGCTCCTCCTTAAACGAGGCGTGTTAGAGGGGAGAGGAGCAGCTTTAGGGATTCAATGGGAGTTTTCTAGTCCTCACACCCCTCACTAATATTTTGGCACGCTTTTCCAGAATAACATGTCCATAATAGGAGCGACGGGCTGTACCATGTGACCGGCGGGGGAGCTCGGAAGGAGCGGCGAGGCGATGCTGGAAGCCGCAGTGCTGACAGTTGAATATAATTCATAAAGCTAATATAATTAATTACTACACGCGTTGAGCGTTTTGTTCTGCTAAAATTCACAGAACGCGAGAAGCTCGAGTTGGCCCGGCTCCCCCCCCGCAGCTCGGCCCGAGTGGTTCAGCCCGCTGAGTCCGGATTCTAGCCGTTCTGCTACAACAAGTTGTGAAGTATGAAAGAGCGAATCGACTTTTCTGGCGTCTGTAAATCATAAATCCGCCGCTCGGCTCTTCATCCGAAGCGATGTGAAGGAGGGTCGGCTCGTTCGGGACCGCCTGGAGCTCCATGGCAAACCGGGCAACTTCGAATTTGGCTCCTAATCCGCCTCGAACCATGGCTGCCCAGTCAAGGTAAGTAAAGCTCGTTCAATACTCAGCAGCCAGTTTGAACCAGCCAGCTGGACCGCCTCACTTTCTGACAGGAAAGTTTTATCTTATTATATTTTTAAGCATTTTTATTCGTTGACAAGCTTTTTTCAGACGTTCAGCATGTTTTTATGCCATTATTAGCACCGAAAAGGCTTTTAAGTGCGTGTGGGAGGCTTCTGGTTCGAGTTCTCCCGTTCCACCTTAAATGGTGCAGCAGTTACGTTTTGGCGTTACATTAATGCTGCTGCGCCATTTAAGGTGGAACGGGAAAATTCGAGCAAGGAGCTGGAAACACCTGGAAGTTTACAGCAAAATCCTCACTGGGATCATGAAGGGCCCCGTATGAGTCTGTTTATCCGCTCTGCTGCTCTCCTCTTGGCTGTATGTGTTTGTTTTCTGCTAACTTGCTCTGTTTGTTGACAAACCAGCTGTTAAAACGGGCCTAACGGCGTTTATCCTCCTTCCTGAGGCGCAGTAGTCATTAACGTGGACTTTTCTCCGTGAAAGTAACCCGTGATAAGTTAGTTAGTCATGGCTGCTCTGCTGAGCCAAATAACGTTTTAGGAAATGGGGGGTTGTGGAGTGAAGCAGGCGGTGTTGTTGGCTGGGCTGCAGTGAGAGCACTTCATTATCGTGGCGACCAAAATGAGAACAAATCAGCAGGAATACAGTTAAATCTGATCAGCGAGCGCAGTTTTAAATTGGGTTTACGGGATTAGGATCAGTGCCGATTCCATGTTTTTGTCTGTCTTAGTGGTGCATATAAATTTGCAGGAATTGGGATGTATTTGTAAAATGACCTAAACACTCGGTCCAAACTCAGGACCAGCTGATCTGGACCTAAACACTTGGTCCAAACTCAGGACCAGCTGATCTGGACCTAAACACTCGGTCCAAACTCAGGACCAGCTGATCTGGACCTGAACACTCGGTCCAAACCCAGGACCAGCTGATCTGGACCTGAACACTCGGTCCAAACTCAAGACCAGCTGATCTGGACCTGAATACTCGGTCCAAACTCAAGACCAGCTGATCTGGACCTGAACACTCAGTCCAAACTCAGGAGCAGCTGATCTGGACCTAAACACTCGGTCCAAACCCAGGACCAGCTGATCTGGACCTAAACACTTAGTCCAAACTCAGGAGCAGCTGATCTGGACTTGAACATTCGGTCCAAACTCAAGACCAGCTGATCTGGACCTGAACACTCGGTCCAAACTCAGGACCAGCTGATCTGGACCTAAACACTCGGTCCAAACCCAGGACCAGCTGATCTGGACCTGAGCACTCGGTCCAAACTCAGGAGCAGCTGATCTGGACCTAAACACTTGGTCCAAACTCAGGACCAGCTGATCTGGACTTGAACACTCGGTCCAAACCCAGGACCAGCTGATCTGGACCTGAACACATAGTCCAAACTCAGGACCAGCTGATCTGGACCTGAACACTCAGTCCAAACTCAAGACCAGCTGATCTGGACCCAAAAATTCAGTCCAAACTCAGGACCAGCTGAGCTGGACCCAAACACTCGGTCCAAACTCAGGACCAGCTGATCTGGACCTAAACACTTGGTCCAAACTCAAGACCAGCTGATCTGGACCTAAACACTCGGTCCAAACTCAGGACCAGCTGATCTGGACCTAAACACTTAGTCCAAACTCAAGACCAGCTGATCTGGACCTAAACACTGTTCCTGATATCAGTGTAGCATCATTTGTTTACGTGGCTGAAAACAATATTTTTCACAAGACTGTCCAGAAAAGTGGCTGGTGGGTCCATCTGCACCAGAAGCTCAGCTCTGGTCGGTAAAAGAGCTGTTAATCATTCGAAATCCTGAACCTAACCGGCCCTGGAGCAGGTTAAAGTTAGCTGGCTAAGGAAGAAGCCCTGCTGTGTTTGATGTCTGCAGCGCATATACAGCCATTTTGTTTACTATCCAGAACCACCAGTGAACCTACACGAGTCTTCTGAGTTTATATGGAATGTTGATGATGGAAAATAGTGGAAAATCTGAAATAATAAGTTTTCTTTGGGGACTATTTTGCCTCACAGCGCCCTGCATGTATCCCTCCACCATGAATGGAGTTTAAGTTCTCTAAACTATCATAAAACAGTGTCTCAGTCATCAGGCAGTGAATTCATAACCATTTCATGTAGTAACTTTCTGTGAGGGAGCTTTTAGAGGTGGACGTCTGGTTCCTATCACCACCACTGTGAACAATTCTGACTCGGTCAGTTTCTCTAGAACAGAGATTCACACCAAACCACTCTGAATGACTCTGATTACATCTTTACTATTTAATTATGCAGGAATTGTGAAAAATTGGTGGAGTTCCCCTTTAAATGTTGGGCTGAGTTGGTGTCTCCTGGGCTCGCGTGTAAAGTGTGTTCTTAGGAAACAAAGTGTTGCGCTTTGAGATAAAATGCAAATAAAGTAGAGACAGAACCAGAGAACCACCACCGGTTCCTTCTCTTAAAGGAGGAACCAGGCACAGGTTAAATTTAGGAGCTGAAGGTGCTTCACAAAATGCGGCCTGTTGACATAATTGAGAAAATGAGAATATGAAACCATAATCCAAACGTTTGAGTCTTTATTAATCAGACAATAGTTCTATAGAAAAGACTGAACACTATTGATTAACATGGAGTTATAGCTGAACGTTTTTGGGAAAATAATATCGCAGTATTTCAAGAAATGTTCATGATACAGTATTTACAGAGAAAATAGAGCCAGCAGTGCAACATTAAAAAAAAGGTGTTTTTTATTCAATATTTGATACTAAATCCAATTAAACAGACTATTTTTTTTATTATTAATTTATAATGTGCAGTTGGTCAGTGTCTGAAAGTACTGATAATATGCATGATATCCTCAGAAAGGCTTGTTGTATTGTACTGTGACATAATTTATCACAGTAACGGTGTATTTTGTCAAATTGCGGCTCTAATCGCTTGTTTTCCATCGAGATTCCGTGCAGATTCTCCTCGAGGTGACAGGACAGTGACTAAGACTTTCATCAGAGCAGAAACATCGTGTTTCATGACTGACTGTGTAAGTGTAGAATCTGCTGCCTGTAAAAGTCGTCATCAGTCGTTCTGTGTCAGACAGCTGAGTTTAACACTAACGGGGGAACAGGAGCTCAGTGGTGGGACGTTAATAGCGTCCTGTCACAGTCAGCCTGAAACGGTCACTGTTAGAGAAACTCAGGATAAAGTCAGCAGGAACAGTCGAGTTATTCCATAGATAAATACTACAGTTTACATTCACAACGTTCTGCTGTATTTTCATCTGAAATGAAGATGATGACGCAGTACAGACTGACGACGCTGGGCCAGATAAAGAGAATCAGGCAGTTTAACATGCTTCAATATAAACCCCAAACCCATAGAGAGTCATGGGGTGGAATATTAAATCTTCTCTATTTTCAGAAAGTAAAGTAAGTCAGAGGCTGGTTTACTCGTGTTCCTCGTTTCAGTGATGTTAAATGGGGCTGTGGTGATGTTGGGGTTTAAGGCCTGAAACACGTCACGCAAGGACGCAGACACGGACGGTTCGAGCCACACAGACACGGTTTCGCGTGTAGTTGCGTTCAGAAATGTGTCACAATGCATTTTTGCTGCATTCTGAGTGATACAGCAGGGGGCGCTATAACGACAGCCAAGCCTGTCCATGTGGTCTCGTACCTCCAGCGTGTTTCCACAGCAGTCGAGCAGCCACAAACACGACTTACATAATCATAAAGATACGATCTATTATGGCCTTTTCACTCCAGCAGAAGAGCTGAAGCAGCTCACTCTGCTCTACTTCCACGTTCAGCTGCTGAGGCTGTTGGAATAACAGTGGATCCTCTCTGATGTATCCTCTAGCGCCCCCTTCAGTACTGAGTGTTTTAACCACCACAGTAACGTAAGAGCACACAGTGAGTCTGAGCAGAAGGGCTGAGCGTCTGCAGTACGCTGGCCGAACACGGTCATGTACTAGTGTTGAGTCCGTTGAGTCCTAACGGCGGACAGAAGTCTCAGTTCGGTTCACTCGTGGTTTGGATGTCACGGTTCAGGACGAGTTCGGTACAACAGGGAAAAGCAATATGTGGGTTAGAAGAACACAGATTGGTTCCTGACTCCTCACTGTTCTCCAGGAACCACATGGATCTGTTCAGTTCCATCAGCTGGTTTAATTTAATGCAGTATTGATTAGATGGAGCTGGGATTGGATGGTAACTGGAAATACCAGAGAGATTTGGAAATTATGAAGATGAAACACACAGAACGATCACAGTGGATTGTTTATTTATTTATTTCTATTTCTTCTGTTCAGAGTGGTTTGGTGTGAAACACAACTTACCGAGTGAGAACTGTTCACAGTGGTGGTGATAGGAACCAGACGTCCACCTCTAAAAGCTCCCTCACAGAAAGTTCCTACATGAAATGGTTATGAATTCACTGCCTGATGACTGAGACGCTGTTTTATGATAGTTTAGAGAACTTAAACTCCGTTCATGGTGGAGGGATACATGCAGGGCGCTGTGAGGCAAAATAGTCCCCAAAGAAAACGTATTATTTCAGATTTTCCTCTATTTTCCATCATCAACATTCCATATAAACTCAGAAGACTCGTGTAGGTTCACTGGTGGTTCTGGATAGTAAATAAAATGTCTATATTTGTGTTGTAGTCATGGCGACCCCTGGTTCCTATCACTACCACTGTGAAGACATCTGAACCATTTCTTATCACTCTGTTTACATCTCACGCACTGAATTATGCAGGGATTTTGAAAAATTGGTGGAATTGCCCTTTACTGCACAGTGAGGGTCCAGAAATAGCCTTTTCTCTGGTGTTGCTGAGTCTCATAACTCATCATGACTGCTGAGCCGGATGGATGGATAAATGATAAACAGAATAACAATCAAATCGGTCACTTTATCATAGTAAAGTGTTGGTATGTTTGTTTACCCTCAGCGGCCGCATTTTCTGACTGGTG